AAAAAAAAAAAACATGAACAGACATTACTTGAATGTCACATCAGCTGAACCCAGCCAGCTTCTTATGGAAAGGAGAGAAGGACCTTGAGATGTTGCAACATGATTTCTTAGACATCATAAAACATCAAACCGAGGTAAGACCAGACCCAAGAAAAACTCCACTCCATGATGAGGTCAGATTATTCATAGATGGATTTTCCCAAGTAATAATAAATTCATAATGATTACTGTAGTGGTTGCTACATTGTGTCACCTTGAGAAGTTAAAAGCTTAACTAAATGGACTCAGCAATTCCACACCTTAGGGTGTGCAGGCCCGGCCCTAGACTGACTCATCACTTAAAGGATATTAAAAAAAAAAAAATGAGGAAGGATAGAGTGTTCCCTTTTCTCAGGGAAGCTCCGGTCTTTACAGTCAGCTTGGATGTCATCTCCTGGCTTCTAGTGCCCACTCTACGGCGTCTACCTTGGATCCTTAAGCCTTCTGGCGTAGACTCATCAGCCTTCCGACAGACGCACAACCTCCTGATATGGACTTACACAAAACACTACAGTGAGCTCCAGACCTTGGACTGAATCCTTCAGTCTCCAGAGTGCAGACGCCCTCTGCACACTTCCTCATCAGACTCTGTGGCTGTCGTAAGCCAATCTTATAATTTCTTATACATTCATACATCCTGTGCTATATCTTTTTCTCTACTAAAACTGACTGATACAGTTATGGTATAATTAATTTGAAAAAGAATCATGTAAGGGATGTAGATTGTACAGTGGCTGATCAGCTTAAACTTACAAATATACTCTCAATTTGGTCTAATAGGTCCTCAAAGGCCACTGTGTATACTGATTGTAAATATGCTTATGAGGTGGCGCACAAAAATCTAAACAGGCTTTATATCTAAAGAGGGCTGGCAAGATAGCTCAGTGAACTAAGCACCCAATTAAGCAAGCACAGGGACCTGGGTTCAATCCCTGGTCAAGTGCTGCACCGGCCCTGCCCCCAGATGTGCCAAGCTGGTGACCAAGCCCCGGTGTGGTGGTGCATGCCTGTAATACCAGTGCTGGGGAGTCTGAAAACAGGAGGATCACTACAAGTTTGAGCTGCATACTGAGACCCTATATGAAATACATTTTTTTTAAAAAAGGGAATACATGAAAAGTTAATTCCTCTTAAAAAATAAATGAAAATTAAAATTGGAAAAAGAAAAGTTAATTAGACTGCAACAGCATACAAAAACACAGAAATGACACCCATGACTTGGAGGCAGA